GTCCTATAAACTTAAGTCCTATAAAATAGTATTTTAGAACGCTTAAAACACTTTTGGCATCTCATATACTTGATTTGATTGTAGCATCTTCGGTGAAGGTAAAAAAAAAACTGTTCACGTTTAATACCAATTTTCCAAAAACTTTACGAAGGGGTCTTTATTTTCACTTAACTAACCAGATACGATTTTATCAATTAAAGTTGCATCGTATGCGACATTTTTTTCTCCGATAAGCCATGGACCGACCCGTAGAAGGGCATACGGTGGCACGTGCCACCGTATTATCTCTTTGCCGAAAGGGTAAATTTTTTACGTTTATGAAGGTGCAACCGTATCGTTTTAGAATGTGTCACCATATGATATTCAAAAGTTCAAGAAGGTGCAACCGTACCTCGTAATCAACCAAAAAACCAAAACAAACTCTTGAAATCAACCAAAAAAACCGAAAAAAACTGAAAAAGTCCCTCGAAATCAATAAAAAAAACTAAAAAGTTCTTCAAAATCAAGCAAAAGAACTTTTAAAATCCCTCGAAACAGTGGAATTAAGCAAAAAACACAGAGCGATAATGAACGTTATTAAAAACATGAAAAACACGTCGATGAAAACCGTGCTTTTTTAATTTGTTTTTATCTATATCATATGGTGTCATCATATAAAAAATATTATAGGAATCTAAAATATCTAACCGTCCTAATAAAAATACTTTATAAGAATTAAATTTATAGGATCAAAACACAAAGCGTGCTATATAAAAATGTTAAATAGGTTTATAGGACGCTTTCAGAGCGTTTAAACAAGCTTGTTTGGGACATTCTTTAAATAAAATATCGTATTAGCTATTTTACATAATACTATTTGAGAATGTATCATATAAAAACAAGTGTCTTATGTAAAGGATAGTTTAGGACAATTCTAAAAAATGTCCCATAAAATAAATATTACGATACTTTATTTCAAAAACGTCCTAAAAGTTTATTAAAACGCCTAAAAAACGTCATAAAAACCTATTATAACATTTTTAGATATGACAATTTATTTTTTGGTTATATAAAACCTTTTGTTAGAATGCTTAGACACGTTAGGTGTCTTATAAATCTGATTTTATTGTTGTATACCTATAATTAAGTTTTCAAAGCTTAACTGTTTTATATGATTATTTTTTAAAACACGTCACATAAAATAACCAATACAAAACTTATTTTAAAAGCATCCTAAGTTTTTTTTGTTTAAACCCCCAAAAACGGTCTATAAACCTATTCTAATACTTTTATATAAGACGCATTGACAGGGACGGACCTAGAAATTTTTTCAAACGGTGACACCATTTGACCATAAGAAAAAAAAATATTGGAAATTTTTTTCAAACGGTGGCACCGTTTGACTATAAAAAACAAATATATGGAATTTTTTTCAAACGATGGCATCGTTTTACTATGAAAATGACTATAACAGGATTCGAACTTGGGTCTAAGGTGGAATAAAAGCCTTGCAAACCAACTCTACCAAATAAAACTTGTTCTCATTGTAGTTTCAAAATACATATGGTGCCACACAACAAATTAATACGGTTGCATCGTTCACGAAACCTAATTTCTTTTTATCATTCAACGAAAAAATAATATGATAAGACATGCCACCTATACCTAATATGATATATAGTGTTGCATAACAGATGTTATATGATCCCTGAATTGGGTGTGGCCACAATTCACTGAATTGAAAAGCACCTTTTAATAACAATGTGAAGCACATGTTCCAACCATGGATAAAGCATGCACAACGACTTATGCAATTATCATTGGGTGTTCCACTTCTTCTTGTTTATTTGTTTTAAATGATGCAAAAACTTAAGTTGCCGTTTACCTAAATGCTTACTGAGTAAGTGTTTATCCTTAAAAATTAATACTGTAATTTATTTTACTTAGTAAAATTGTAGTATATCAAAATGATATCGTATGCAACAATTTACCCGGTAAGTGCTTATCCGGATAAGAGTCGTCACCCTCACTTACTGAGTAAGACTCTTTATCTTTATCATTGTTCTTACCGGGTAAGATTTTTGACCATTGTCATGTTCATTCAGTAAAGAAAATTACCGAGTAAACACTTACCGGATAAATGTTTAGTAAACGGCCCCTTACAATATATAGTAATATGAGAACATGTTTAAATAATATTGCTAAATATATTATAATAAAATTGATTTTATACAACATCTAAGATATAGAAGCGTCTTAAAAACATATTTTACAGGGTTAAATTTTTAGGAATAAAAAAAAAAACGTCATGTTTAAAAGTGTTACAAGAGATTTATATGATGCTCTTATGCGTTTTAATTTTTTTTAGAATGTTTTAAAATAAAGTGTCATAGTAACTATTTTATACGATATTATTTTTAAAAAAATGTTCTATTAACACAAGTATCATATAAAAAGATGGGTTTATGACACTTTTCAGAAATGTCTTATAAAATAGCTAATAAGACACTTTATTTTAAAAGCGTCTTAAAATCGTTCTTTAAACCTATTGTAACGCTTTCATATAAGACGGTTTTTGATTTGAACGGTATTTATAGCCAGTGGCGGATCCAAGATTTTTGTTCAGTGGGGTCACCTTTAAGGTAGACTAAAGACCCGCAAAACCTTCCGATGTGTTTTTAACCTAATTACAACGTTTTCGAGGGAATTTTAAAGTTTTTTGGTTGATTTCGAGGGATTTTTTAGTATTTTTGTCGATTTCAAATAACTTTTTTGGTTTTGTTGATTGATTTCACCAAATTTTTTTGGTTAGAGTAACGGTTTAGATTGGGGTTGGGGGCCGTGAAAAAATGTAACGGGGGGAAGTGAAAGGTAAATCATGTAAAACCTAAATTTTAACCTATGAATTTTTCTTTTTTTTTGAGTTTTTGACTGGGTCCCTTCCACCCTCCTTTTTACCATTGCATCCGCCCCTGTTTATAGGTATCTCTATGTGAGGTTTTTCCAATAGGAAGATGGAAACATAACATCCAAATCACCCACTTCGGTAATACGATTCCGCACTTTCAGTACCAACATTGCATTCACTCCTATTTTATATATCGTATCTATAGTATTTTTGTCCCGGTGGATTTCTCTCTCATTTTAAGAAAGTTTGTCTAATTGCCTCCGCTAAATCGTGATTGAATGTCTCATTTTCCTCTTTCTTCTTTCTCGTATAACAAAGAAAGAATCTTTCACAATAATGTGGAACCAGAAATGTTTTTAAGCGGTACTGTCTAAAAAGTCTATCAAACTGTTCCCGCTAAATCATGATTGAATGTCTCATTTTCCTCTTTGCTTTTTCTCGTCTAACAAAGAAAGAATCTTTCACAATAAAGTGGAACCAGAAATGTTTTTAAGCGGTACTGTAATAAAATCGGTTTTTAGGATGTTTTAAGTGTTTAACTAGTTTTATTCGAGTATTTTATATGACTTAAATTTATAGGCCAAATAATAAAACTGAGTTTATAGGACACCACTAATTTCTAAGCATTCTAATAAATCACTTTATAGACTTAATTTATAGGACCAAAAACTAGAGCGTCATATATAAAGGAGTTGTAATAAGTTTGTAACACGCTTTTAGGCGTCTTAACAAGGTTTTTAGGATATTTTTAATACAAAGCGTCGCATTAGCAATTTTATAGGACACTTTTTATAAACTCATCTTGTTATAGTACACTTGTTTTTTATAGGATATCTTTTCAAATAGTGTCATATAAAATTGCCAATGAGACGCTTTGTATTAAAATTGTACTAAATAACTTGTTATGATTCCCAAAGGTGTCTTATAACCTAATTACAACACCTTTAGATAAGACACTTTCACTTTCTACTCCTATAAATTAAGTGATATAAAACAATCTATTATGACACTTAATAATTTTGGACATCCTATAAACCCGATTTTGTTGTAGTGATATATTATCTAAAAGTGTTAAAATAAGTTTATAGGGTTTTTTTTTGGTGTCACAATAAGTTTTTTTTTTTAAGAATTTTATTAAATAAAATGTTGTGTTAGCGATTTTATAGGACACTTATGAGAAGTGTCCTATAATATAGCTAATACAACACTTTATTTTGAAACGATTCTAAAAAACTTGTTACGAGTTCAAAAAGTGTCCTATAAACTTACGGTAATGCTTTTAGCGAGGATGATTTATTTTTTAATCCTATAAAATTAAGACCTATAAGACACTGTATTAGGACACATCCACACTTTAGGCGTCCTATAAACTCAATTTTGTTGTAGTGTCGTGGTATCGTTAGACTATAAAAAATAGAATTTAGAGAGTTATTTACGAGACATGGTCTGAGCCATTGCAAAACATTACAAATCCGTTGGTCGTTCCTTGCCACTGCAAGCAATGATCATGCATCATATGTTCGTGAAAGCACGTATCCCGTTCCAACCTCGATATCTGAAATTGTATTGCGCCATATTTGTTGATCGAGATTGTTCAGGAGAAACAGTACACGCCCGGTACGAGGATGATTTATGAGTATGGGTGCAATGAATTCTTTCCTTTTTTTCAGTATGTTGCTTCATAAGTTAGGATAAAATTATCAGATGTATCTTTCGTCTTGTGACAAACACACAAAAAAGATGATATCAGAAACATCCGCCGGTAAATTGATTTGCCGGGAATTTAATTCTATTTTGAAAATAATTATTTTTACTCTTTATATATTTCCGGCGACTTTGGCCGTCAGTAATATGCCAAAAATTTAATTTAATTTTTAAAATCATTATTTTTAAAATAATTTTCCTGTAAATATTTAAAACCTATAAAACGTGTATTTAAAACTTGTAAATCCTGTAAATATTAAAAAAAAAAGCTAAAAAGATAAAATGTCGCTAAATATCATACATTAAACTAAAAAACAAGAAATGTCCAATACAATTATATATCCCGCCCAAAGTAGCAAACAATTGTTCCAAACAAAAACTAAATTGTTCCAAAGCAAACAAATATTTATTATTTTGGCGGCGGGAAGTGTTGAGATTGACTTAGCTGCTTGACCAAAGCAGTCATCTTTTCAAGTCGTTTATCCCGTCTCTCATCCAACACTCGCCGACACTCCTCCTCCTCCGCCCGCCGTCGCTCCTCATCCGCCTGCCGAAACTCCTCCCCCGTCTGTTGGCGCTCATTTTCTTCCTGTAAATCTCTAAGTTGGGTCCTTAAGGGTTCAATTTCCTATAGAGTAAAGAAAACGTTATAATATTTAATATGACTTATAAACTAAATAGATAAACATCATCAAAGGAAAAGAGGTACACACCCGGCTATCTGAAGACGAGGGACCACCCTGTGTGGAGTTCCCAGTCAAGATCCAATTGGACCCAAATAGACGGCCTTTCTTGCTGATCACAAAACGCCAACTCCCACAAATTTGTAAATCTCAAAGTTGGGTCCTTAAGGTTTTAGTACCTACCAGAGCACTATGCTCTGAAAAAGGGATCGATCCACCGGTGTGTAGCGCAACTTGGCTATCATGGTTCTCATGCGCCACTTAGAAACCAACCTTCCAATTGTCTTTGTTCCAACAATCGACCATCTTTGATCCACACATTTGAAGAGATCCAATTGGGGGGGGGGGGATTTCTTCAACACACCCATATCCCGGTGTGGGTCAGTTTCATCGTATTGAGAATGCTCATTCCTCTTTGCTTTTTCTCAAGCTTCTTCCTTGTGACACTCAAGTTGTCATTATATGGCTTTGCTGACTTTCTCTCCCATGTCTCTTGCATTCGGACGTCCAAAGACGGATCCCAAGTGTAGTAGCACTATTTTTAAAAGGTTAGTTGATTTTTAGGTTAACAAAATAGAAAAAATATAACAAGTTGAATATATACTACAAACCTGTCGAAAGAGAGGAGGTCGTGATTGGTTGCAAGGGAAGGAAGGGGAGGAGGTCGACGGTTGTCGATTTGAGTTTATGGATGGAAATCGTCGGAAATTGTCGATTTGAATTTATGGTGGATGGAAATGAGAAACAATGGTTGAGGGAGAGGGTAGGGTTTTGTTCTATATTACCGGCGGATATGTTCGCCGGAAACATTTTAAATTAAAAAAAAAACTGGTTTTTCATGAAAATTTTGAAATTTTCGTTTTTCGGCGGACATTTCAGCCGGTAATCCGCCGGCTTTCTAAAATATATTAATTGTTGTTGTTGTTATTATTATTATCTAATTATTATAAAACCATTAAATCCCGACTAAGATCCATTAAAACTCAATATGTAACACCGCGGTTACAGTACTGACAATTTTACCGTTTAACCTCCAAAAATAATCAAATTTCAAACCACTAAAACATACATAATTTTGAATAAAACTCCGAAATGTCCACTTTAATTTGTTGCGTTTCATCCAATTCTTTCTTTTTGACCAAAACATAAATCAACGAAAAAGTTTAAGATTTATAATCCGAAAGTTACCTAGAATCAACGGGGGACATATCTACTCGATGGAATACATGCATATATATAACACACCAAAAACAAATACAAATATACCCAAAAGAGCTAAGCTAACACTTGATTCAATACCCAAACTAAGCTTCCTTATATTTCCCTTTGTTTACAATCCTTTTTTCTGTAAAAAGGTTAAATCAATAACGGGTAAGCAACAGTGCTTAGTGAGACTATATAAAAGTACATAATCATAGTGTATTATATTTAAATATATATCAACCGAAGAATGAAAAGAGGTCTCGAAACGAAAGTTGTTATAACATCGAAGACCAACTACTAGAAGAATTCCATGAATACATCATAAGTTCCAATAGCATGCAACATACTTTCTTACTGACAAACTCGACAACAAAATGACATTCATGCCATACAAACATCTATCACATGGCTCAAGTTTCATATCATCTAAGCATATCATGATCCAAATACAAAATATCAAGAATAGTGCACCACTCCCACCTTCGTCTACTGGGTACATGTAGAACAGTACTTACACTTGTCTCCTACCACTTGAGATACGTGAGTACAACGAATTGGTATGTCACACCCAACCTTCCTTCGTCTTCATGGGATACGTAGACATACACCGCTTTCCAGCGTATCACACAAAGTAGTACCTGTATTCACGGTTTACCAAGAGATCAACAAAAACAATCGTGGATCCGGACTCATTGTGGAATAATCATACGAATACAAACCGGAATCATAGGGACTCACTCATGTTACACCTTAACAAAACATGAAACACAACTAATACAAACAGAAAATCCATACACATATAACTACACATAAACATGTGTTTCATATAGACTCACAGTGCATAAAATGGGTCTCGTTCCAACTCTGTAGTCTAAGTACGTATGGCACTCAAAAAGCTTCCAATTATACCTGTATACTCCCTAGAATATACACATTCAATTCCATAAATATATGATTACACTATTTCATTATATTACATTCCTTAGTTAGTAATTCTATTCTAATTCCCTGAACAACCCCCTGTTCTAACACATTTTTACATTCTTAAACTCAGAATTACATCCTGACCTCGAAACAAGAAATAAAGTAGACACTTTCATCTTTCAGATGCCACTTACCTCATTGGATTTTTCTTTGATCTTATATGAATTTTCTAGAACAAGACAAAAACATTGACTTTTATGTTTCAAAATGGCTATTTTTAACAATCTTGTATCCAAACCATTCCCATTTGGAACCAAATTCAGATTTCTATCTCAAAATATCACAAAATTTATAAAATTAGCAAAACTCAAGCCTTATTCATCAAAGTCAACATTTTAGAGCTTGACTTTGAAAAGTCATTCTTGTGTTCATAATGCAACATTATTTCAACTAATCCTTGAAAATAATCCATGTTTTTCGCCAAATAACAAGTAGTCTCATCATATTTCTACAAAATAATTTCATCGTTCATTTCATAGCTTAAACTTTAGTTGCATGAATCCAAATACTTCAAGAAAATCAAAATACCAATATTTATACCTTCAAATCTTTGAAATTTCTCTTCAATTTCTCCAATATTTAGCTAGGTTTTAGTTTTAGGTGTGTGAAATCATACACACTTTGCAATAGAAACTTGTAGAAGTAAAAATGATGTGAAAAGATCTAACTTTCGTCACTTTATTGCACAAACCTGTTTTGGGTCGGGTTTGACCCGGCTGGGTTGACCCAACACCCATTTTGACCACCAAACACTTAAAAATTCATAACTTTTCACCCACGTGTTCGTAACAAGATAATTTCTAACTTTCAACAAATATAGTCCAGAAAAAGGTATTAGGACTAAAATAATCCTAAATATTATGAAAGTTTAATTAAAACACTTTAGGCTAAGGATGGAAGGTTTAGAGATCTGAACTGTGCTAAATCGACTAAGTCTAAGTCTAAAAGAGCAATCAGAGCCTCTGGTTGAACTATACTTTGAAAGACTATATTCAGATCTCTGGAAAAGAAGACTTCTGAGTTTGGACGATCTTAAGGCGTACAAGTACAAGTCTGAAGAGATATTCTTCAAATCTCTAGAAAATAAGTCTTCAGAGTTTGGGTGATCTCAAGGTGTACAAGTACAAGTCTGAAGAGACATTCTTCTGATCTCTGGAAAATTAGTCTTTGGAGTTTGGGTGATCTCAAGTCGTACAAGTACAAGTCTGAANGTCTGAAGAGACATTCTTCTGATCTCTGGAAAATTAGTCTTTGGAGTTTGGGTGATCTCAAGTCGTACAAGTACAAGTCTGAAGAGACATTCTTCAGATCTCTGGAAAAGAAGTCTTTAGAGTTTGGGCGATCCCAAGGCATACAAGTACAAGTCTGAAGAGACATTCTTCAAATCTCTGGAAAAGAAGTCTTTAGAGTTATTTCAAGAGAAGACCCGACGAGCGCTAAGTGTCAAATCTGAAGATAAAGTATAAAGACCTTGAGTTCAGAGTTATTTTAACTCTGAATGAGAGAATGATGTTGCTAACTCTGAATGAGAGAATGATGCTGCTAACTCTGAACGAGAGGATGATGTTGCTGACTCTATAACAACCTATAAAACCCTTTATATTTCTTAAGGATTTTGCTACAAGTCCTCATTAGAGCATTATATTAACGCATAATCTACCTTATTAAATACATAATACACATTAGAACACATTTAGAGGCATTTGCCAAGCATATTTAAAAAAAGAAAGTATGTTACAATTACCTCCTCCTTATGAAGATTCCGTCCTTGGAATCATCGGTGTTCAAATAACGATTGATACTTTTCCATCATCTTGTCTTTATTCTCCCAACTCCAATTCGGCCGTCGATGATGCTTCTATTTCACTAACACCAACTCAACAACTTTGTTCCGTAAATTAATGTTCTCTCATTTAGAATGGCTTCGGGTTCTTCAATGTATCTTAACCGCTCATCCACTTTTACTTATGTTTAAAGGTTTAGTCTCTTCGTGTCTACCAAGACACTTCCATAAATAACCCACATGAAATACATCATGAATTCCTGCGAGTTCCTCCGGTAGCTCCAACCGGTACGCTTGCCTTCCAATACATTCCAAGATCTTGAACGGTCCAATAAAACATGGACTGAGTTTACCTTACTTCCCGAATCTCAACACCCTTTTCCATGGAGAGACTTTAAGCATAAATATATCACCAATAGAGAATTCGTTCGGTCTCCGGGCGTTAGTCATCATAGGATTTCTGTCAGTCCTGCACCACTTTCATCCTTTCCCATATAACCTGAGTTTTGTCATGAGTCATTTGTATCCATTCGGGACTGGCTAGCGTCTTTTCTTCCGTCTCTTGCCAATAGAAAGGCGTACGACACTTACTTCCATATAAAGCCTCGAAAGAAGCCATCCCAATCATCGAGTGATAACTATTGTTATATGAAAAAACTCAATCAGAGGTAAGTGAGTATCCCGGCTTCCACCGAACTCTAGAACATAGGCACGTATATCTTCAAGAGTTTGGATCGTACGTTCATATTGTCTGTCGGTCTATGGATGATATGAGGTGCTGAGTGCGGTATGCATTCCCAATTCATGTTGTAGGCCGGACCAAAAGTTAGAAGTGAAGCGAGAATCATGATTTGAGATTACCTTGAAAGGTACACCGTGTTAAGCGATAAGCTCATCAATGTATAATTGTTCCCATCGATCTATCGAGTAAGATTCCAGAATAATATAAAAACATGATATGATCAACCATAACTTTTGTTCATTGACTAAGTAAAAAGGAATCCAGAGTCAAGCCAACTAGAGCTCCTCTGGTTGACAAGAGCCTCTGGTCTTTCCAACCAGAGCTTCTGGTCTCAAATTGTTAGAAACCAACTAAGGATACATGACCAACTAGAGGTCCTCTGGACAACCAAAGCCTCTAGTCTTTCTTAACCAGAGCTTAATAAAAATAAGAAATGAGTTATATATGAAAACAAATAGATTTTTAACATACCTAGAGGCCCTCTGGTTAAACATGAAAGTTAACTAGAGCCTCTATGTTTTTTTGAACGAAAACCAGACAAATTTATAAAACCAGAGCCTCTATGTTCCTGTACTAAAGTTGGAAAAGATCAAGTTAAAAAGGTTTTAACAATAAAAATTATACTAGAGACTAAGTTTAGATATAGATCTCGAATATAGAGCTTGGAATTATTAAATTTCAAGATATTGAGCCTTTGTGTAGCACAGACAGAGCCTTTGGGTCAAAATATTAAAATATTTGAAGAACTTGGATTTTCCATCAAAACCAAAGATATCGGTTGGTCTTGAAGACCATCCAGAGCCTCTCTGGATTCTCATCAAAACTTTACTTTATCGAAATAATTCAAAGTATAACGTCCAGATCAACCAAAAAACATTATTAACTCAATACACAGCCAATCAAGGCCTCTCTAGTTATAAACAATTTTCCTCCTCATCATAACAACATTGTTATCATATCAATAAGAGCAATAATCCTAAGTCCTCACATCACACAGAGGTGATAACTCAAGATCATTGCATCTCATGGAAGCAATAACAAAATATATGATCAAAACTCAAGTTTCACAATTGTCACCCTTATCCAAATGTATACATCTCCTTGACATGCCACCCTTATTCCCTCATAAAAAATATAACCATAACCAAATCTGTCAGTTTTGCAAAGAATGACATCAAAACAGTTTCATAACAAATCTTCATATTAAGAACTTTTACAGTTCTAAACCCAATTTCATTATCAACTCAAAATAGCTTCAAGAACAGTTTGCCTTTTTCCACATAAAAACCAAATAGCTTGATATTTCAAATACCAAATATAGAAAGTTGATAATATAAACTCACCTTATATGCACGTATATGAAGACGACTCTCACAGCAACAATTTTCAAATATGATCACAGAATCAGCTTCTTCTTCTTACAGATTCTCTTAGAGTTCACACAAGAACACACACATAGTAAGTTTTTCTCTATTTTCCCTTCTTTTCAAAATAGAATAGATAAGATAAATCTTATCTAATCACTTTATAATACCATGAAAAATCACAGGCGGTGGAGCTTAATAATTTTATAATTCACAACTCACACGCAACTCCATGTAATAAGTTATACATATAATCATAGGCGGTAATATTTATTTTAAGTAAGTAATCACATAAACAAAAACATTTTAAATTACTTTACTTACCAAAATCTTTCAAAAATCACCCCAAATTTATATAATCAAAAACCCGGTCATCACAACTCCAGGGTGGGACAAATCAAGAATAAGAGCACCATTCCTTGAAGACATGTACACCGATATCTTTGTTCGTTCCCTAAAGTGTTGAATGTTAACAAAGTCTTGGGTATTTGGAAAGAAACCCTTGAATACCGAAAAGAATACAAGTATTTTCTAAAAGATAAACGTCAACCTATTCACTTCGTGAGAACAAAGTACTAGACTGTCTCGATCAAAAAGGTCGAAGCCAAAAAAAACTCGTAAGAGTATGGTATCCTATCTTTTACGTCATAAGGCAAGATGATAAAGAGTGGTACTTTAGTGAAGCTGATTTTCCTAATCTATACTTGGAAGACTTGGAGTTTATGTATCATGATTTCAAAAACCAAATTGTCTTATTGGAAGGAGTTGTCAGAGGTTTGGAAGCCATCAAAAGATTTCTCAAAAGTCATAGTAAGTTGTCTTCTACAATAGATGTTCAGATGGGCTATGAGAGAAATCAGAAACTTGTCAATCTGAAGAAGCCTAATCAAGATCTAGAAGACGTTGAGGGTTACCCTTCGTACATGATTCTTGTAGATCCGGAGTTGGGTGTGATTTATGGAAATTCTGATGGTGTTAAGAGATTTCTAAGGTTCAATGAACTTAAAAAGTACAGTAACGGAACTATCAAGATTATCAGGAAACAACTTGAGTTAAAGAAACTTCAGGATGACAAAGCTTCGGGGTCCAACAAAATGAATTTGAGAAAAAGGTTCTTGCTTCTTAAAGCACTAGAGTTATTTGACGAAAAGATTGAATATCAAAATTCCATAAGAAGATTTGAAACTCATCTTGGGTTCAGACGATGTAACGCCCCCAGAACCCCGTAGCAATGATATTGTCCGCTTTGACTAACCTGCCCGCTATACCACAAAGCAGTAGTCGCACGGTTTTGTTTCTGGCAGCCGCACAACGCAAGCCCCAAAACCGGTCATCGCATATCAGAGTCCGCAGCACGGAAGCGAATGATATTGTCCGCTTTGGCACGCTATACCACAATGCCTCACGGTTTTGTTTTCCCCGCTATACCACAAGGGAAACCGGTCATGCTAGGATGAGGTATCCACACCCTTATAAGGAGTGCTTAGTTCTCCTCACCAACCGATGTGGGACGGGATGTTACAGACGATCAAGATTAGGACACAACGTCCTCGTTGGGCCACATCGATCCGGGTCTGGCTCTGATACCATTTGTAACGCCCCCAGAACCCCGTAGCAATGATATTGTCCGCTTTGACTAACCTGCCCGCTATACCACAAAGCAGTAGTCGCACGGTTTTGTTTCTGGCAGCCGCACAACGCAAGCCCCAAAACCGGTCATCGCATATCAGAGTCCGCAGCACGGAAGCGAATGATATTGTCCGCTTTGGCACGCTATACCACAATGCCTCACGGTTTTGTTTTCCCCGCTATACCACAAGGGAAACCGGTCATGCTAGGATGAGGTATCCACACCCTTATAAGGAGTGCTTAGTTCTCCTCACCAACCGATGTGGGACGGGATGTTACAGACGATCAAGATTTTCTACATCTAGAGTTTGAATCCAAAGGGGGAGAATGTTGGGTTAAAGATTTGATGTTTGGTTGTTGTATTCAAGCTTGTTATTGTAATTGTACTTTCCTTGTAATTTCTTTTTTAAGTATATAATATTTATATACGGCAAATGCAACAAATAAACTCATACTGCATCCTCACTTTGGTGAGGTTTGAACCCCTGACCTCCTAGGAGGCCAAGGACTATGATACCGCTAGGCCAAAGGCCCTTTGGTTACTTTCCTTGTTATTTTCCTTGTATAAATAGAGTAGGTGCCTTGTAATTTGTTGTTGTACTTTCATTCTCATTTATAATCACTTTGAAACTAATACAAAAACCTTTGAAGAAATTCTCTCTAAACTCATATTATGCCATTGTTAAAGTTTGAGTTCTTGAATTGAATTGTATGAAGATTGATTGAAACTGGAACAACACAACCAAAAACCCTAAAATGTCTCTTGAAATCAAACAAAAAAAATCAACAGTCCCTCAAAATCAACCAAAACACTTAAAAATCTCTCGAAAGGAACCAAAAAACATAAAAAGTTCCTCATATGTTGGGGTTTGGCCACCTTAAAGGTAAATCTGCTAGGATAAAATCATGTGTCCGCCTCTAGCTGTGATATAAGTTAATCCATTAGGGGCTTTTTATCAAATGCTAACCGGTTAAGCACTTACGGTGCCAATTACTTTACCGGATGAACATAATAAGGACTGAGAATCTTACCCAATAAGAGGGAATGCAAGGATCAAAAGTTTTACTCGTTAAGTGAGAGTGATGAATTTTACCCGGTAAGCACTTACCGCAAGATAGATGTTTACAAACAACCTATTTTGATGGTCAAAAATGTTATCTGATAAAGTAAGTGATGAACGTTACTTTTGTTGATAAGTGTTTCCCCTTTAAGTTCGAGAACAAATTATTTTGATTCCATCTATGCATCAAAACGATACATGCACCCAAACCAAAGAAAAAAAATAGTTAATTAAAAATGATACGATGGTTTTCACAATCATTTGCAAGTTGTATTTGGATTCAAATACGAGACATTGCAATAACCTTTTCCTCATGTTGGTTGTACCAAGATCGGTCCCTTACAGACGACGATGACGATGACGA